CAGGAAAAAAAAAAACCTGTGTAAGAAACAGTAGCAACATGTTTCCCATGATAAAAACACTTGAGACTAAAATTTCATAGAAGGTAAATCTATGCAGATCCAATTCTACTCTTAAAAAAATAAAATTTGGCAGCTATTTCATTGGAAGGAAGAAATGATTTTTTAAGGCACAGTAATCAAATCTTTCTTAAATTTCAAGGTCACTTTTAACATATATTGAGTTTCTCTTAAGCGAAACATGGCACCAGAATTAAAAACACTTGAGACTAAAATTTCATAGAAGGTAAATCTATGCAGATCCAATTCTACTCTTAAAAAAATAAAATTTGGCAGCTATTTCATTGGAAGGAAGAAATGATTTTTTAAGGCACAGTAATCAAATCTTTCTTAAATTTCAAGGTCACTTTTAACATATATTGAGTTTCTCTTAAGCGAAACATGGCACCAGAATGAAAAAAGTTGCTTTTAGTTAACTAGGCTGTCTGTTATAGGAGGTCAAGGTTAATTATCCCTGTGGAGGTTGGTTTAGCTTTGCATCCAAAACTCAGGACAAGAACTTTATAGTATGTGTACTCTCCCTCCCTCCCCATTTCTCTTTTAGCTGTCCAAGTCCATCCTGTCTGTCACCAACAAATACAATGTTTTTAAACTACTCCAGCACTAGATACAGCAGGCACCCTCCACCTCACAAATAATATCCTGTGCAAGCTAACAGAAGAAAGAAAAACGGTTTACCAAGTTTCCAGGACGGCTGATGTAGTTCAGTAGGAACGTGTTTCCTAGCATACACAAGGCTATGCCATATGTTAACATGGCAACTACATTATCACTTTGGTACCTTACACCCATGCAACTTAACAACTGGTGCTGAAACTGAAGTATAAGATACACTGTTTCTGTGCAGCTGCTTTTCAGTTCTTTATCCATTACACAAAACAACTGATGGTACACTTCCTTTTTGTCTTTTTATGTTTTAAATTCAGTCAAGAGTGGGCTAGTGAGCTGTCTCAGCGGTTAAGAGCACTAACTGTTCTTACAGTGGACCTGGGCTCAATTCCCAGCACCCACATGATGGCTACCAACCAACTATAACTCCAGTTCCCAGGGATCTGAAGGCCTCTTTTGATCTCCTTGGGCCCTGCATGACATGGGCACACTTACATCCATGCAGGCAATACACTCATACACATAAAAATAACAAATATTTTAAATTCAGTGACGATATGGGGTAGTTTATAACTCTTACAGTATTAACACCTCCCTCCTTTGTATAGTGTAATAGACAAATATAATTTTGGTACCTTGGATGTATACATTTTACATGTTTCTTAAAAATTTTTAAACAGCAAGACAAAAAATTATAATTTTTCCTCATTTTTATTAATGTGTGTTTGTATGTCTATGTGAATGTATGCCATGTATGGTACCCATAGAGGCCAGGAGAGGGCGTCAGGGCCCCTGGAGTTACATGCAGTTGTTAGTGAAGGATGCAGGTGCTAGACTAAACTCAGGTCCTCTGGAAGAGCAGTGCATGTTCTTAACCAGTGAGCTGTTACTCCAGCTCCTAAGACAGAAATCCTCATTTGAAGCTATATATATATATATCCATTTGGAATTCAAGGAGTCTAAAAAACATGACAAGTATTTTAATCTTACTTTTCTTCCAAATTTGAAAACTAAAATGATTTTTAAAAATTTTACCTCAACTAAATAGGAGTTTTGGGGTTTTTTTGGCCTTTCTGAGACAGGGTCTCCCCATAGTCACAGCTGGCCTGGAACTCACTATGCAGACCAAGCTGCCTCAAACTCACAGTGATCCACCTGCCTCTTCTCCCAAGTACTGGGATTAAAGGCGTGTGCCACCATGCCTGGCTAGTGCTTAAATTTTAAAGCCATTTTTGCCTAGGTTTGGTTAATTTGGCATGATGTAGTTTATGAAAAAGATAGAACTATTCATTTGTACTAGATAATCCTACAGGAGATTATTAGATCACTCATCTTAACTGAAAAGCATTAATACACTCATAGCAATCAAGTTTATGCTACAATTCATTTCCTCATTGTGTCTACTGCCTTTTACCCCAGTCTTTTACCTGTGTTTATGACTAAGCCCAAACAAAATTTAATATCTCAGTCGAGACCATTCATATAAGTTTGAAACAGTGTACGATTACAGGACTATTTGTAGCTTGAAACTGTCTATCCATTACTGCTCTAAAATAATATTTAAATACTGTAAGCCAAGTGATATGTTTATCAGGAATTCAAGAACTGCCTTTACTTATTTATATGTTTTTAAAATTTATTTTCTGTCAGGCTGGGCGTGGTGGCCCATGCTTTAGTCCCAGCACTTGGGAAGCAGAGACAGGTGGATCTCTGTGAGTTCAAGGCCAGCCTGGTCTACATAGTGAGTTCCAGGCCAGCTGGGGCTATAGGGAGACCCTGTCTCAAAGAAACTAAAAAAAAAAAAAAAATTATTTAATGTCATGAGTGTTTTGCCTGCATGTATGTAGGTGCACTATGTTGAGTACAGTGACACGGAGGTCAGAAGAGCATATAGGATCCTGTGGAACTGGAGTTAGAGATGGTTGTTAGCCACCATGTGGGTGCTGAAAATCACACTTGGGTCTCCAACAAGAGCATCCAGTGAGCCATCACTCTAGTCCCACCTTTAGTCAAAGGTATTAAAAACAACAGCAACAACAACTAAAAGAAGAAACTCAGAATTGGAGGTTAAAGATTCTTTAACATGAAGCTGTTAGGTAACTGGTAAACTAGGGTGGGATACTAGTTGAGCTTCAAATGGATGGATAGTTTTTTATATTTCTAAATAAGGCTACTCTGTGCTTCAACCCATCATCTCAACACTACGAGATTTATGGGCTACCCAAAATCTCACTGAATTTAAAACAGGAAAAGACTAAAAAGGGATAAACAAAGAAGTGAGCCAATAATCACTGCTGCTGTATTTGTATAATCATGGATGAAGAAAGAACTTTCGAAGAGCAGCTGCACAGGAACGCTGTGCTTGCTAGAGGCACTTCAGTTTCAGTAGCAGTATCTCTGGATCCTCAATCTTTTCCACAAGAACCGCCTTGCAAATATAAAGGTGTAGTTAATAGCTGAAGAGCTTAGCAAACTACACTGTTTGAAGATGTAGGCATATAGCTATAAACTGATTTTGTTTTTGTTTTTTTAATTTTTTTATTTTTGGAGACAGGGCCTCCCTATAGCCCCAGGCTGCCTAGAACTCCCTAGGTAGACCACGCTGGTCTCAATCTCCAAACTCTGCTGGCCTCTGCCACCTGAGTATTGCAATTAAAGGTGTACAACCACCACACCCAACTGTAAACTGATGTTTAAAATGGAAGACCCTAAGCAATCAGCACACTACGCTGTCACTGTGCAGCATCAAAGGGAATTCTTCAGTTAAGGTGTAGGACCTAAGTTTGAGTGGTCACTGTACTACCACACTGCCACTCCTTTCAGTTAAAAAATAACAGGGAACCGTCAATGATATTCCAAGAAACCTCTGTTTAAAAAAAACAAAACAAAACAAAAAAAAACCCCTCAAGGTTATATGCAGCAATTCTGAATTAGAACAGGCCTTAAGAAATAAACATAACTCATGTATGGGAGATTCTCCCAAATTTATACTTGTCTATTATACTGTACAAATGAGGGTGTATTAACTCAATGCTGCAAGATTTATGGGCTACCCAAAAAATCTTCAATGAATTCAAAACAGGAAGATCAAAAAGGAACACACAAGAGGCAGGCCACTCATCACTGTAGCTTTATCTGTGTGGATAAAGAATGAATTGAAGAGTAGCTGCACAGAAACTGAAGATACCTGTTTCAGTATCAACGTCTCTGGCCCTTTAATCTTTTCCATAAGATCAAACACTGCAAATAGGAAGCCGCAGGTAAAAGTTGAGAAGACCACACCCACACTAAAAACTTCAGATTTTTCTTTGGACGGATACTAGCACCCCTTTGAACGCTTGTCATACTGATTCACTACGGATATTCCTTAAACACCCATCTTGCCTACCGATTCACAAGAACCGAAAAGGTGGGACAGCAAAGGAACCCTACACGTTAAACCTGTCAGGTAAGTCAGCTTGCTTTTTATTATTTTTACTGCAACTGTCTTTTCTAACAAGACTGAAAGCAGCAAGATTCTCACCCAGATGTTCTGCCTACAAATCCAGGTCTCTTTTCTCTAAACAAAAATCAAGAAGTATTTGCCAAGTTTGTGAAATCCTTAGCAGCTGAGCAGTAATTGCAGCTGCATTGTTTCCCCAAGCTTCCCACTAGGGAATATGTAGGACGGGGAGGATACTATTGTAAACTTTTGATGGAGACGTAAATTTGAAATTACTTCCCTAACCAAGATTTATGAAATGCCTTGATGTCTTTGTTAAAAAAAGGGGGGGCAACATAACACCCCCCCCCAAATAGTTTTTGTTCACAATTCAGAAGAACCATCCACGTAAAAATCACAGTAAATGGAAGCGTTTGGAAGGGGGTTTTAAAAAGTCACAACAGTAAATAGGAAATGCGTAGCTGACTTGGAAAGGAAAGCGAACTAGGTGACCCCGCACGAAAGCGCGCGCAGGTGCAGCCGGGCGCGCGGCCCAGCTCGGCGGCTTTCGAAGCACTGCTGTCCAGGCACAGCCTCCGATAGTGCCGCGGGTGCCCCGGCTTCCCGGTGCCACGGCCCGGGGTCGGGGCTCGAACCGCGCTCCCGGAGAGACGGCTCCCCCGCGCCTCCCTCGGTCCGCCCGGGACGCCCCTCGGCCACTCACCGTCCTTCTCCGAGCCCCAGGCCGCATCCTACCGAGGCCGCTAGAGCTCCGGTTGTGGGGTTGATTTCTCCATGGCGCGGTCCGGCCGACCACGAATGGGCGAGAGAGTCACGCGTGGAGACCACGGCCGGCCCCTCGCTCAGCGCTGAGGTTCGCTCTTCGAACCCCCGCGGAGCTGACACATCAACAAAGATGGCGGCGACACCGAAGCCGGCGCGGCTATAGCCGAGGGGGCGGGGCCTCCGGGAAAAGCCAATCACCGCGGCGCGAATGGAGTGACGCAGCGCACCTGGACGGTCTAGGGAAAGCTGCCTGCGGTGGGCGGGGCCTGCGAAGCACCGCCTCCTGCCTAGAGCTCCGGAAGGCCCCGCCCAGCATCTCGCGTTGCTGCGCACCTGTGCCCCCAAAGGCGGCAGCAGGCGGGCTTTCCGGCTCTCAGTCCCGTCGGACCGCTCCCGCCCCTTCCCCACCCTAGCGGGTGGTTTCTTTCCATAGGAAATGCTCCCTGGAGATCTTTCCTTCTTCACCCTTTGGCCCGTCGTCCAATGAGTCAGTGGCATAAAGCAGTAAAAGAGAATTCGAGATTGTGGCTTCCCGGTTCTGATGTGTGCAAACTTTGTACCAATCGTGGGTGGGCCGAGTCGGCGGGAGCAGACTACCTGCACATGCGACGAGTCATCCCTCCGAAGAGACTTCTGGAGGGTTTCCATAACACCCTAGACTTCGAATTTTCAAAGTGGCACCCGGTGCCATTGTTCAGTAATAGATTGTTGGTGCGTCTGTCTTTTGCAGTGGACTGAGTGCCCTGGGCTGGGTTTTCCAGAGCGCTGAATAGTTCGAAGAAGAGTACTGCCTATAGTTGCCCAGCCCAGTTTGGAAAGGGAAGGTGACCAGTTTTATTCTGCGTCGGTTTTGCAAACCTTCCCTATTGGGTGAACCGATGTTTTTAAAAAAGTTTAGGACAGTATAAACACAACTCAAAAATGAAAATAGTTAATTCAGAGGAGTCTTCAATGCAAAGTTCTTTAAAAATTGCTGAGAGGGGGTGTACAATGCTGTATACCTCTATCCCTCTGTCTTTTTGAATAGGAAATAACACTTGCCTCTTCAAATGAAGGTACTGTATTAAAGCACATTTTGCAATTAAGATGTCTATGACAGTAATTACCTGAGCCAGGCATGGTGGCTCACCCGTCATCACAACACGTGGGAGGTGGAGGTAGGGGAATTAGGAGTTTGAGACTAACTTCAGCTCCATGAGACAACCCCGTTTCTAAAACATGCACATACATGGTAGCTCATGCCTTTAATTCCAGTACTAAAGAGGCACAGGCAGGCCCATCTCTATGAGATGCAGGCCAGCTTGGGATGGTCTACGTAGTGAGTGAGTTCCAGGCCACATACTATGACTTTAAAAACAAATGGGTCAAACATTACAAGTGGGGTATATTGAGCTGGGTGTGGTGGTGCACACCTTTAATCCCAGCACTTGGGAGCCAGAGGAGGCTGGCAGATCTTTGTGAGTTCAAGGCCAGCCCAGTCTACATAGCGAGTTCCAGGCTAGGTGGGGCTACAGGGAGACCCTGTCTCAAAAAGATTAAAAAAAAAAAAGTGACAAGTGGGGTACTTTATTACAAAGGGGAAAAATTCAGATACTTTGTTTCAGTACTCATATCTTCAGAAATAACATTGATATTGCTTCTGAAATTTATTTCCAAACTTATAATTAGTCTAAAGCATATTAAATATGTTTTGGGAACCAAATTTTTTAACTATAGGAGAAAAAATACTAAGATAAATCAGAGAAATGAAACACTACAGTCCTATATTTGAATATAGAAATACCATTATATTGCATGATAGGGGTACACTTAACATACATGCAGGCAAAACACTCATACATGCAACAACAACAACAAAGAAACACCACAATGAACTCATCTCATACTGCATTTTTCTTTCAGGAAGACTGGGGCTGGAGTGTAGTTTAGTGGGAGAGCATTTGACTAGCATGGGCAAGGCCTGGGGTTCAATCCTTGGGAGGATGGTTGCCCACTGAAAAGGCCTAAAGCCATGACCAGACTAATGCACACCCCTACTCTCCAGATTCCTATTTCCCACCAAAGGTACCTGGACTGAAAAATTATGAAGTCTGGTTCAAGTTTGGGGGCAAGAAATGTGTAAGACAGCTTAGGACATATACTATTTAGATTGTGGACTTGGCAGAACTGCTTTCTTCCATAGCACCTAGTGTGGAAATGGAGGAAACTACAGGAGAGACCCTAACTCTACCTCAGCTAGATGGTCAAGTCCTTATCAGTCGTCACAAATCATGTTCATCAAATGTGTGCTTGATATATACTAAAAATGGCACTTTGCCTCTATGCTCTTCCTTCCAAACAACCCATACTCCTTTCCTATCATGAAAGCGACATCAGACAAGCTTTGTCATGGGGCATGATTCTAAAATGAAATCATGGGAAGCCTCACCAGTACTCCTGGAAGCTGCCCATCATGGGAAACGGCCCTCAGCCAAGAAGACCCACGGGAAATATGATAACTAAATGTAATGTTGGATTCAGGCTCAGAAGAGGGACATCAGGAGGAAATCTGAATAAATTATGGACCAGTTAATAACATCCTTTCCTTAACTGTAAGGATCTTATCACACTAACATATTCATAATAGGAGAAACTGGATGTGACATAATTAGAACTCTAGATTTTTTCTTATTTATTCTGTAGTTAAAACTGTCCTAAAAATAATCTTATTAAAAATAAAATCGATGTGCCGGGCTCCGTGGCACACGCCTTTAATCCCAGCACTTGGGAGGCAGAAGCAGCCAGATCTCTGTGAGTTCGAGGTCAGCCTCGTCTATATACTGAGTTATAGTGTGTTCCAGGCCAGCTGGGGCTACTGGGAGACCCTCAAAAAGGCCAAAAAAAAAAAAAAAAAATAGAGAGAGACCAAAACAAAAAGGAAAACGGAATGCTCGGTACGGAGGCACACACCTTTAATTCCAGCACTGGAGAGGAAGAGGCTTGTGAATCTCTGAGTTCAAGACCAGCCTGGTCTACATAGTGAGTTCTAAGCCAGCCAGTGCTACAATGGTGAGTCCCTGTCTCAAACAAACAAAAAATAAAAAATAAAAAAGAGAACTGACTCCTCAAAGTTGTCCTCTGACCTCCACACCTGTGGCCGAGACGCTTGAACACCCACACATATACACACAAAGTATAAATGTGAGAAACAAAAACACACAAATTTAGGATTTGCTGCAAAACGTTTAGGAAGTGACTGGGATGCAGATGTAGACAAGATTGACCAAGAATTCTGTTGTAACTGGATGATAGGCACATGGAAATGCCAGTCTTTTAAATGTGTTAGGTAAGTTCTATACCGCCCTCATCCAAAGACAACCCCAAAAGGTGTATGCAATCACTTGTCCTCAGTTGGAGCACGGCATGGTCACACGTGTTTCGTTTGTACAACCAAACAGGCGCAGCGGATTAATTTGGATAATTGAAAACTCCTTAAGTAGGTAAATCAGAAACCCAGGTGACTTTCTCGGAGTGGCCTCGGCTCTGGAAACACCCCTGGAGCTCCCGGGCAGCTCCCTGGAGCACTCTCAAATTTTCTAGAAGTTGGCGCCTAAAGTTCCCGCTAAAGCGCTTCCTGAGTGCACAAAGCCAGACCTGTGCAAACCTCCTCAGGTCCTGGGCTTTGGGGCACGTGGAGGACAGCACGCGGTCACGCAGGCTCACGTTGGCGCTATGGCGCACGTGGGCGCGAACTGCGCAGCTGCAGGGCCTGGAAGCGCGAGGGCGGGCTTGGGCTTCAGCCACAAGGTGAGCGCGCAGAGCGAACTGCTGGACGTCGGGGCTGCGGGGCATGGCAGACGCCGGCACCGCCGGGCTTCAGAGACGGGTCGGGGTTAGCGGCCCTTTCGGCCCTTTCCAGGTCAGGAAGCGCGGGCGCCTGGGCAGGGAGCGCGGCTGTGTGAGGCTGTCAGGCAGCCGTCGTTGGCAGCCGGAAGTCGAGCGCTGGACGTTGAGGTCGGGCGTTAAGTCGGGCGTTGAGCAAGGGACAGAGAACTTGGAGCTTAGGTGGGAGGTGTGGCGTGGTTGGCTTTTGTCTGGGTTAGGAGGAGGCTAGAGGCCAGGAATTGGGGTGTGGGCATAAAGGGACTCTGCACTGGAGTTGGGACCAGCACTTACCTAAATGGTAAAGTTCATCTCAGTCCTGTGGTCCAACCTGCAGCTAGAAAGCAAACTCAATACTCATTAAAGCCTTTGGCTACCCTGCCTGTCTACAGTCAGCATGCTCTGGAGACCCCTTGGGAGCTTGCGCTGGTTTAACAGGTGCGTTAATGTGCCTGCCATGTGTCAATCACTGACTTTTTCTAGGACCTTGGCTAGAAATGTTTCTCCGGTTAGGCTTACCGGAGTTACATCAGGTGCCTTTATTTACCTCAATTAGACGCCAAGGTACCAGATGCAAAATTGCACACCTAGCTGTGTAACCCGATTTCCCATCTCAAAAGGGGAAGATGCTGGGCCGTGGAGGGTAACAAGTTATTCAGCTTCCCAGTCTGTTTTACTCATTTTTACAAACAAGAAATAGATTGAATCCTAAGGTTGCTTCTATTTTAAATGCACAGGTGGTAAATTCAAGACCAGCGAATAAAATCTTGCAAATTAGTTCCTATTGACAATGAAGCTGTGCAGGGGGTGGTAGGCAAGCCTTTAATCCCAGCTCTGGAGGCTGAGGCAGGTGGATCTCCCTGGCTTCAATCCCCAACCTGCTTTACTCAGTGAATTGGGCCACCTAGGGCTACACAGTGAGACCCTGTCTTAGAAAAGTATAAAGGACTAAGGGTGTGGTAGAGTGCTTGCCTGGTATGTAGGAGGCCCTATGGGATTGTTTCTCATTTGAGGGGAGCGTGTTAGAGGCTCTGCAGTCACTGCCCTGGGTGGTTTAGGAACAGTCCCTCATGATTAGTATTTATGAGGAAGTTACTACAGCTGTCTACATTTTATAGCACTGAATCCTAGAAAGGTGAAGAGATTTGTGCAAACCAGCATAGCTAAAGGAGGAAGATGAGACCTGGATCTGATTTCAAAGCTCACACTCCACTGAACCCAAGTTTTGTAGCTCTGAAACAGTGTTTCCTTTGAGGAGAAGGTCTCTCTTGGAATGTACAAGTTTACCAGAAGGCAAGGGCAAACTTGAGAGAAGGAAAACCCTTGCAGCTAAGTATCTCTGGGTGCACATTTATGATTTCAAGAATGAACTCAGTAATTAATCCTACTGGGGAGCAGATTACTCTAACCTCTAAGTTCTGGAGGGAAAAGAACAGGTTTGCCCATGGTTTGAAGGGTTTCCTAGGATGCTCCCAGCAGCATGGAGATGTGGGGAGGACTTTTAAGGAAATAAGACACTGTCTGCTTTCGGGAGCCTCTTTTTCTCATTGGTATTAAAGCCCAAAATGAAGACATGAAAAATGGAGGCCTTGTTTTTATTAACAGACTTCTACCATTAAGTTGACTTTTTCCTTTTGATTGACAGTGCTATACATTTCAACACAGTCACTTCTAGTCCATTGTACTTTTACTATACCATTGATTTGGGTCCTATCAAGTTTACCTCTGTGTGGGCTAAGGAAACAGCTAATTACAGTGAATTCATTTTGTCACCAATAGCATATAAAAATAGTAGGTTATGTATGGAGGGTATTGCTTGTTTAAAAATGGATGAGGTTAGCCCATGAAGTACCATGATTTTGTGGCATCATCTGTCAAATCACTTTACTTTTGTTTATCAGAAATCGGCAGGTTGGAAATCACAGCATTACATCCTTAGGGTCAGTCCACTCAAGACTTGGTGGTGACATAAGATGAATCTTAAGTAGCTGTAAATGCAGAGTCTTACAGATATTTATTTAGGGCATGTACCCACACATGTGCATGTGCAGGGCACGTGTGCAGCTCAGAGGATAGCTTGCATGAGTTCTCTTCTTCCACTACAGGAGTCCTAGTTTAAATCCTGTTTACAGCTGTTTAAACTCTATAGTGAGTCTAAGACCAATGTTCTTAAAATGCAATCTACTGTCAAAGTTTTGGAGGGGATTTTATCAGAGTTGATTCAAGGCATGAAATTTTACTCTTAGAACATGATCTAATTCTGTTAAAAGCTACTAGTTGTCATTTCATGAGTGGTTTTCATTTTTCCTGTCCAGATTGTCATGAAAACAGTGTAGTAGCATATGTGAAATAGGAACACAGGGGCTGGGGAGATGGCTAGGTGGGTAAAGCACTTGCCATGTGAGCATGAGAGTCTGGGTTCAAATCCCGTATTAAATGAACATTTATACATACAGAGGCTTATTTTTTTAAGTGTTAGGGATTATTTTAATGAGATGATTTCTAGAAGTAGCAGAATTTTTTTAATGAGATGATTTCTAAAAGTAGCAGGATTATTTTAATGAGATGATTTCTAGAAGTAGCATTGGGAAGCAAATGGTACTTGAAGACCTATACACTTGCAAGCACGAACATACATACACAAACATTCATCCAAGTAACACAGAACCCATAGCCTACAGCTTTATTAATCCTATGGGATAGCAAGTCTGTGCATAGGCAGAGCAGGTGGGTATAGTGGCTTAGCTACCAAGGGCTCAACTCTTTGAAGTTTCAACTTTATTATTCTGAGAATGATTATTGTGTTCTGGTTAGAAGCTAGTGAGTGACATGTTTGGGTCCGCATTGCAGAGAGAGAGGAGAAAAGGACCCACCAGCACAATCTGTCTTGGCTCACCAAAAAGGACAGAGCTTTCTCAGAAGTCCCCTTCAGAAAGAGTTTGTCAGTATTGTCAGCACCTGTAGTTGGACAGAGACTGAAGGTAGCATTGGCCAGTCATGACTACTACAAGATATTTATCCCACTTTTACAAAGGTATCAAGTTTATGATCTATTTATTTTTGTAAGTTTTTTGTCCTTTCATGTGTATGGAGTGCGTGCGCACCATGCAGGCCTGAGGTTGATGTCTGGAATCTTCCTGGATCACTCTTCCATCTTATTCTTTGAAGCAGGGAATCTCAATCAAGCCCAGAGCTTGCTGATAAAGCTAGTCTGGCTAGCCAACCTGCTTGCTCTGGAGAGTCGCTGTCTCCACATTCCAAGGCTGGGATTACAAGTGAGCTGCCATAGCCTTGACATGTGTTTGGGGGATCTGAACTTGCCTTCAAGCTTGCAAAGCTAGAGCTCTTAACTGCTAAGCCACCTCTCTAGCCCTATTTTCCTAAGTGTTTAATTGTTCATGTTTGCTCTCAGCAGCAGAAATCTTTCTCTGGGATTTGCACATTTTGTGAAGAGTGGCTGTGACCCGTATGATTTTACCTCTGTGCGTGTTCAGCATTGCAGAGGTGAATGTTGTTGGTACTGGTCTCTATTCAAGTTTATTGTTTAAGGTGGATATATCCTTTTTATTATGGACTGTTTCTCCTCCAGTCAATTTTCTGTTTCCTACCCCCCTAAGTGGTGCTACCATGACTCAGATTCCGTGTTCCTTTGTTTTTTTCCTTAGTGCATTTCTTTTATGGTGTAAGCGATCTTTGCTTGCCTTGACATTTTCTACTCTGAGTACTATTTCATTTGCTGTTATTATTCCATCTTAATTTTCAGCCGTATGTAATTTTGGGTTTTGTATGCCCTTTGTTCACAACATTGCTGTGAATAACCATCGGTTCACCCTGATAGGGTACCAGCAGCAGACCAAAGACAGGATTCCACCCAAGTCTAGCTTGGTGAACTAGGAAGTTTCCTGGGGTTGCTTACAAGCATGTAGGTAAGGAGTGACTCAGGAAAGCTGCCCCCTCTTGTCACTGCAGGCAGCTCAGCTGGTCTGGTTGGAGGGTCTCCTCTCCTGAGCAGTTCCTGCTTTTATAACCTTGGGGTGGGGATGCTTATCAGTCTTTTATGTTTACAAGTTTTGTTTACTTCTGAAATCTGAAGAGTGCTTTTCTTCTTCCAGGAAGGACTGTTTCATCTGAAGGAAACAAGCACCATGGTCTTTCCCTTGGGTATTTTCTTTTCTGTTTAATTGAGACTATTTAACATTGATAGATTTTGTGAACTTGCCTCTGTCATCTTGTGATGTTTTCAGTTTTTCCCTTGATTAATTTTTTCTTTGGTTTTATATGTTTCTATTTTAGTAATTACTGTAATATTTTCTGCAATTTCTTTGTAATGTTTGTAGTCTAGAGTTGTCCCCCCTTACAGCAGTTTCCCTCTAGAAGTAATTTTCTTTTTGGAACTTGATATGCTTCTCTAGTGTTTCCAGCATTGTGGGTCTCAACTAGTCAGTCAGATTTAGTCAGGCTTATTGGTACAAGTGTAGTTTCCCTGGCAGTCCCACTATAGCTGCCACCTGGGGCCATCTGTTGAGGATCTTCCCAAGGTCTGGCTCACTCTGAGGGGCCCATCTTTGAGTGTTCTTGTGTTCTTCATTTTGAAATTTTCATTATCTTTTATGTATTGTTAGGATTACATTAGGCTAGGTCTAATTTAAAACAAGAAATGAGGTAGAAGTTTTAGGACACCAGGGGGAAGAATTTTTCTGCTATTTATGTTTAAAACCATGAGCAACACTTAGGTATTACTGTTCGGTTTCAGCTCTCGGGTTTTTTTGTTTTTGTTTTATTTCTTCCCTTTGAAGGTTTTGGGAGAATAGGCTGTTTTACCTTCAATTTACAATGTACTAGTCACTATGTCAAAAAGAAGAATTGTTGATCCAATTCAAGGGCTTCCCCTAGACAGTAAATACATTTAGGAGTCTTTTAAGAATGATGGGAAAGTCACACACCAGCATCGTTATTGGATAGAAGTTCCTCCCAGGCATTTGCAACAATTTAAACATGGAAAGCTTGCACACAGATAGGTCCTCGAAAAACAAATACAATTTACAATTTATGAAGGACAACCAGAGACTGTCAAGGCAGATGCTTGAGAAAACCAGGGAGAATGGGGTCCACTGAGAGGAGTTGAGAAGGATGGTCAGGCAGGTGAGAGAGCCAGGGCCTTCTAGGTAGAGGTATCGTGTTTGAAGAGTTGGCATGGCATAAGATAGTTTTTCTGCGAAGGTAGGAAATGAACTAATTTGAGGAATAGACTGTTATATTTCACTAGTAAGGGGCAGGCTTTACATTGAAAGCATTTCTCAATCATGAAAGGTCTTTTCTGTTTCTGATACTCCAAAAGCTTTTAAAAGTAAAGAATGGTGTGGCACTCTGAGATAGCATTTTTCATGTCCTTGACTTGGTCCTTTAAATGAATCTCCTAAGCCAGAAGTTCATCCTTATGCACAGAGAAACATTCTTAGATGTTATTGGCTAGATTTTGATATCAAGTTTGAATCTGCTTGGAATTGTGACGTGTATGTCACATAACATTTGAAAGAAGTCACCTGTACTTGTAGTTCTACTTTTGTGATGAAATTTACCTCTTGAATACATTTCTTTCCTCAGACTTTGATGAATGTTAAATTGTCACCCAATATGATGCCAAGAAATAATTTGGATGCCTCGACTTGTAAAATGACAGAGCCGTTTAACTTTGAGAAAAAGGAAAGCAAGCTTCCACCCCACGATTCTCTAAGAAGCCCAGGAGCACACGACAGCCATCCTAATTTCAGGTTGAAAAGCCCAGAGAGTGGAAATAAAAACAATTTTTTGCTTTGTGAGCAAACTAAACAGTATTTAGCTAGTCAGGAAGACAAGTCAGAGGTTTCCTCAAACCCAACCAGTATCAGTGGAGAAGTGGTTGGGTCCAAAGAAGACAGGAAGATATTACCAACAGGTAAGTGAAAACCACACACCTCTACCTTGATTCTGATGAATTCTTTGACTTAAGACCACATGCCCATGATATAACAACAGCAGCCAAATGACTACTGAGAGTATGTACATGTAACTATTAATTTAGGAGGAAAAGCAAATACCAAATAGCATCTTTGCCTTGATTACTCACAGAAAGGATTTCTCAGAAGAGAATTACTACAGGTGAATGTTTTCCCCCTTAACAATGGGAGAACTGCACTGGGAATGTAGAGAGGATGCATATTGACTTTGTAATGGGTATTTTAATGTTGCCTGCCAGGAAGCTGTAGTTAAGGTAGTTTCTTGTGGTTTGCTTTCAATCATTCCTTTTATCCTAATTCTGAAAAGCTCTTTGTAAAGAGCAGAGGACCAGGTAGAATTTAACCTTTAAATATATATGAGCTATGATTTTTCACATTGTGTTAATCTAATCCTCAGAATGTGACCTATGGACCTCCAGAAGGTCCTCAGGAAGTCTAGACCAAGGATAAGTGAGCTGCCTTAATCTCATAGCTAGGTCTATGGCCCAGCAACCAGGTTGCTGCCTAGGCTATAGTGGTCCTTATGTTTTTCCATTGCCATGAATTACATAGTAACCAGAAATTACAATTTCTTCCAAAAATATCCTGGATGGGCCAAAGTTGTACAGGCCTTTAATCCCAGCCCTTAGGCTGAAGCAGGAAGGTTCCAAGTGCTAGGCTGGCTAGAGCTAGAAAGACCTTGTCTAAAATAATTTTTTTTCAGACAAGTTTTTTTTCCCACTAGAAAAAGTAAGATGTCATTTATTTACTCATGGGGTAGCTGTAGGATCATGGAATAGACCTGTTATTTGAGTGCCACCTAATCATTATCAGGAATAAAGAGTAATATTTGGTCGTTAGTAGGAATTGTGTTTTTCCCTTCCCAGGAAACCCAGTGTCCCCATTAAGTCTTGGAAATAATTCACCACCCAACAAGGTAAAAACTGTAAGTTCTTTTTTTTCTACTTTTCATTTTCGGGTAAAAGTTTTTGACTTTTAAATTGTGTTTGTAAGGAAGTATTCATTTTATAAGGATCATTCAAAGTCAAATTTCCTTTTCTTTAACCATAATTTTCTTTGGAAAAGAAAAATTCCTTTTTTAGATAGTGTAGATTTGTAGGCAGTTGCTAGAATAGAGAGCTTGTGTAACCTTTGTCCAGTTTCCGCCAATGGTGACCTGTGGGAACTATAGACAGAATCACACCAGCCACTGCCAGTGATTCCAACAAGACACAGAACAGTTCTGTCGTTTCTAGGGTCCCTTTTATGCCACCTTGTGGCCACATCCACATCCCTTCTGCCATTCCCCTCCTTGCCCCGAAGCTGCTAATATATTCATAGTCCACAGTTTTGTTATTTCAAGAAGGTTTTAAATGGAATTCTATTATAGGCTTTTCTCACTCCAAAGAATTCCTCAGAGATTGGTCTAGATTGTTGAATATCGATATTTTGTCATGGTGATGAGAAGTTGGTGGCTAACAGTTTCCTCCACAGTATCCACCAGAGATGATCTTTTGTCCATTTTCTGATTGAATTATTTGGTAATTTTTTAACTTTGAGTTTTGAAAGTTCTTTGTGCTTCAAAATGTTAGTCTTTGTGAAGTGTGACTCACAGCTCTTTCCCCTAGACCCAAGCGTGTCTTTTCAGGCTCTTCATGAAGCCTCTGGCAGAACAGAAAGTTTTCATTTCATTCTGGCTGACCAGATTTTCCTCGTGCATTTTGTGCCTTCCTGTGAACATTAAGAACTAAGCTCCTCTAGAATGCAAGTGTTCCTTTCTAGAAAATGGTTCTTAGTTTTAAAGTTTTGGTCCATTTTGAGTTAATTTTGTTTAAGAAACCTAAATTGAAGTTTATTTTATTTTCTTTGTGGTGTTTACTGTTAGGTGTCATCTGTTGGAAATGTTAGCGTTCCTCTTTTGAATTGTTTCTGCACTTTGGTCAGGTCGGTTGAGCATATTTGTGTAGTTTCAGATTCTGTAGTGTATTCTCTGTTCTTTAGTGCTTTCCACTGATGTATCCTTATATCCACCAACACCATGTTCTTACAGCTACAGAATCACTCTCATGATTGGATTATCCACTCAACTTTGTTTTGCCCTCAAATAGACTATTCAGAATAATCTCACCTATATTGGCAAAATAATACTGCTCTAATTTTGATAGAATTGCATTAAGTCCATATATCAGTTTGAGAGTTATACCTTTTTTTGTATTGACTCTTACCATTCATGAACACAGTATGTCTCTCCCTTTGTATAGTCTTTGATTTCCTTCACTTTGCAGTTTTCAACTTTTATGTTACTTTAATGCTTCAGAATTTGTTTTCTGACTATTTTTGTGTATCCTCATATTTGTTGCTAAGAAACAAAAATACCGACTTTTTATATTTATGTTGTATCTTGCGACTTGTTAAAAGTCACTTTATTCACCACAACTGCCCAAATTTTAAAGAATAAGAGACTGTAGAGTGTTATACTCATCCACCCATGGCTCAGGGACCATTGCAGAAGAGCCAGGACTGGTTCATGAACACAGAGAAGCAGAGGTTTCCAGGCCACTGGAAGCTTGTACATGTGGCAGTGGTAGCATTGAGCACAGGACCCACGTCAACTCAATTAAACAAGGGCCCAAAGGGGAGGAGAAAAATAGGTGGCAGGCTGGCACTGGACTGAGAACTATTGGAGACTGCTGCTGGGTGAGGGAGAGTATGACTGTATATACAACCACTGGATGGGCTGACTAGATGCCAGTGGATGAATTTACACTGAGGGACATTTGGGTATACAAATGCCTGAATGAGTAGGACTTAACATGTATGGCAGAATACATGAGGTCTGGTGGGGGGATGGGGTAAGCATGGATGGGGGAGGGGTCTAAATTTGATTAAGAACTGTTGTATGAAATAACAAAAGCTCAATTAAAAAAAGTCACTTTATTCCAGGAGTTATCCTCCCATCCATTTCTATTTCCTTTCCTTGCTTTACTGCACTGGCAAGAACTTTCAGGTTATGTGAAATAAGGGTAAGGAGTGAGATACTTCCATGTTTCCAATATTAGGGAAAAAGCATCCTTTCTTTTAGCATTAAACAGAATGTTAGCTGCAGGTTTTTGTAGGGGTCCCTTTCATGTTGATAAAGGGTTCTCTATTCTTGTTTTTCTGATAGGTTTTTATGATGAGTAAGAGTTGAATTTTTTTCAAATGTATTTACTATACTAATACAGTGATGGAGTTGCAGTCTGTTAATTTAAAATATCAAGGTGATCTACAAAATTAAGCAACTGTGAGTCTCTGAAATAAGTATCATGTGGTTGTGGTATGTTAATTTTTTGCTGCTTGTGTGGATCAGATATCAATGAAATAAAAGCTTTATAAAATGGAAAATGTTCTATTTCCTAAAAATAATTTGTATAAAATTGTTGTCAATGTGTGTTTAAATATTTGGTAGCATTCTCTACTGAAAACAACCTAGACTTTGACATTTCTTTGGGGGAAGTTTTAAAATCGTGATAGACTTTCTTAATATTCATAACTCTGGTCAAATTATTTCATATTGTGATTATAGAATTTTAAACAATTGTCTATTGTACAATTGAGCATGATAGTTCATTCCTTTAATCCCAGTTCCTGGGAGGTTGAAGCAAGCGGATCTTTATGAGATCGAGACCAGCTTGGTCTATGTAGGGAGTTCCCGGCCAGTTGGGTTATAGGGAGACCCTGTCTCAAGAAAACCAAAAACAAAGGTCTGTTTTGCCTATGTTGTCAGTATTTGATATATGCAGAATTCAGTCTGGCCATCGTCAATCATTGTGATGTGTGTGGGATGAATAGTCTTATTCCTTTTTCTTAATTTAGGAGATATCATAGTCTAAACTATAGCAAGATGAGAGACTAAACTGTTGATCTAGACTTTTCTAGTATGCTCCTTTAATGCTTTTTCTCTCACTAGTGCTTTCCTGTGCCCTACAGATCTTTGTATCTTGTTTATCATTTTCTCTCAGCCCAGTATGCCCCTTTGACATAGGCATTATTGAGAAGTGTACTTTTTAAGTATCCAAGTGTTGGAGATTATGTTTTCCCATTTCGCTGCTCTTTTCTATTTTGAGGCTGTAGAGCAAACTCTGATTTCAATGAGTCTTTCTTAACCCTCCCCACACTTTTTTTTTTTTGGTAGTAGAGATTGAATCCAGAACTTTGTGGTTGTTAAACATATGGTCTATCCCTGAGCTATCCTCTCAGCCCTCTTCTAAGTTGTGGTTTGTTTTTATAGCTCGGGTTGTAGTCTTGCTGTTACACATGTTCTGTTAGCATTTAGAGAAAATGTGCATTCTGCCTTTGTTGGTTAAAATGGTCTGTACATAACTAATAGAGCCTGTCTACTGATGTTGATTGAGTTCTGGTGCCCGCTGATCTTCTATTTAGTTACATAATTGTTGAGAGAGGGGCATCAAAATCTCTTAACTATAATTATAGATTGCCCTTTTCAGATTTGCTTCACATTTTGGAGCCGTTTTTGACTACATATACATCTAAGATTGTGATGTTTTCTAGCTGGATTGACTGTTTTGTCTTGTAATATCCTCTGAACATTATCTTTCCTCTTTAATCTTTTATCTGATATAATGCAGTGTTCCTGTTTCCTAGTAATTAACAGTTATGAGGTAATTTTCCATCTTTTCACTTCCAGCCTGTTTATATGTGCATACTTGACATGAATTTCTCAGACAGGACATAGTTAGGTGACATCTTTCAGTCCACTTGACCAGTCTGTCTTTTAATTGGTATAATTAGACAATTTCATTTAATGTAGTCATTGATAATGAAGGTTTAACTCCGCATTCATATTTTTTTCCTGCCTTCTGTGGGTTACTTGAACACTTTTTATAATTTGATTTTGAGCAGTACCTATCTTGGAATAGCTTTCCAGTGACAGCTATAAATTTCAAATTATATATACACAACTTATGGGAATCATCATTTTGCATGTTAAGTTTAGGGTTTTAGTTGTACATATAGGAGGGATATGGAAAAGTGTTATATACTCAGTTTTACTAATGGGTAGTCCCAAACTTAGTATTTAAAGTTACTAAGTTCTAATATTGCTGTTCTTTGTTCTTCATAGAAGCCCAACAATAATGTGTTTCCTGAAAAGTCAAAAAAATCGCACAAGTTGTTTGAGAATGCCTTGTCCATAAATAATCCAGCACTCTTCAACTCTTTAGGACCTCCCCTTAGGTCTACAACCTGTCATCGCTGTGGCCTGTTTGGTAAGCATGTTTACTTTTTGTCCATGGAATCATCATTCTACACATTTGAAAATGATTTTTACTATGGCAAGTTTTAAACAGGTGGAGAATTTAAATGCTGTACATAGCCGAGACGACCCAGTGCTTCGCTCATTAACCACTGTAGCCGCCACTGACCTTCACGGCTTCCTGCTCTTCCTGCTTTCTCATTTGATTTTTACTTTTTTGGTTTTGCCTTGAAATGCACAGACACCATATCAAGATGCAGAATATTTGTGTATCCTCAGAACCTCTCTCAGAGCCCTCCCCCTGCTGTGCCCTGAGGCTACTGCTGTTCTCCTTTCTCACTGTAAACTAATTTTGCCTGTCATACAGTTCACATAAATGGAATTATACAGTCATAGGCCCATTTGTTTAAATTTTATTTTATTTAGAATACTTTTCCGATTAATCTGTTGTTGTACGGGTTCTTAATTTTTGTTTATTGCTGAAAAGTTCATTGTATGATATTATCAGTGTTTTAAATTTTATTTTCTTAAATTAATAGACAACATTATATTTACCTTCTGCAATGTGGTTTTTAAGAAATTTTATTTAATTAAAAAAATTTTAATGTGTATGAGTATGTAGTCTGCATGTAGGTAGGTGTACCCGTATTGTGCGATGCCCATGGAGGTCAGAAAAGGGCATGGAATCCCCTGTAACTGGAGTTATGGACCATTGTTAGCCCCATGTGGTGCTGGGAATTGAACCCAGGTCCTCTGCAAGAGCAGTCAGTCCTCTTAACCACTGAGCCAGTTCTCCAGCCTCTGCATTGTGGTGCTTTGACACAAGTTGTCCACATGTTAACATTTTGATTGTGTCCAGCTTTTGACTATTGTAAGTGTAGTGCTAATAATTTTTAAGTTTTATGTAGACCTGAGCTTTCAGTTAGTTGGCTGTCCACCTAGGAGTAAAACTTTTGGGTCAAAGGCTAGGTACAAGGTTAACTTTGTAAGAAGCCACCAAACCACTTCCAGGCAGTGGTCCCTGTGCATCTCCACATCTGTGTCCACACTGCTGTGTGATGTCACCTTAAGGCAATGCCTGAAGGGCCACAGCCTGACTCCTAGCATCCATTCCAGCCAAGAGTAGGACCAAAACTGCTCTGAGAACCTGTTTCTTCAAAGTTCTCCTGGAACTGTGCTCTCAAACAGAAATCTCACTCTCTTTATTGAAACTGCATATCTAGCATGAAATGAAGAAATAAAAACAGACCCTTATCAGAAAAGGATTTTGCCCCTCTGACCCCTACTGACCTAGAATAGCACTCACAAGCACAAACAGATGTTAGCAGTTTAATTCCACCTATTTGCAACACAAATGGGACAGTTTTCATTGCTTTCAGTGAATATCCACAGCATTTGCTTGATATTGCCTCCTTCTGCCTTGCTCTGGAGTAAGGACAAGGAAGGGTTGTGAAGGGTTAGAGCGGTATGTTTAAGGTTACAAGAGGAGCTCAAGGCCTACTAAGTTTGCTTTTCATTATAAGCAAGCTGAGAGAATGTTAAATGATCTTGAAACAGAAGGGTAACTTTTAGGCCAGGTGTGGTGATGCACGCCTTTAATCCCAGCACTCAGGAGGCAGAGACAGGTTTATCCCTAAGTCCAGCCTGGTCCAGAAAGCAAGTTCCATGCCAGCTGGGGCTACAGTGAGACTCTGTCTCACAACAACAACAAATTAACTTTTTGGCTACAAGGTTAGGTAAAAGTCATCTGTCCAGAAGTTGTTCATCCTCATATACATCAACATTTGGTGCTATGTTTCTGTGATGGTAGCCTTTCTGCATGGGTGAATAATGTTCTCATTTTAATTTGCAGTTCCCTCATGGTTAGTAATCTTTGCCTTTTTTTTTTTTTCTGTGTGCTTTCTGGATATTTGGATTTTAATTTTTTTTTTCATTTTCTTTCAGGGTTGAAGCATTTAAGAATAACTTTTTTAGGGGGCTTATTATTTCTCTTTTGGTTTTTGATTATTGGTTTCTTCCACCTTGATAGTATGGAATTTTATTTCAGAGGTGCCCTAGTTTTTCCACATGTGATTCTCTTCATTCTGTTTTGGATTTGTTTTTAAACAATACATGAGGAATCATTTCAGAGTCCTGTGGAGTGCTTTTCCCTGCAGCCAGTGCTCTGTTGGTTCCACTTCTTTCTGTGCTGTCTTGTTTGCATCTGTGTCCTAGGAAGCTCAGTTATGTCTCAATCTGAGCTGGTCTCATTTTTATGCTTGCAGCCTTTGGCTCTGTGTTTTGAGAGTTTGGAAATCATTCCTAGGGCCTAATGCTAAGCAGCACTCTTGTCTTCAGTGCTTAGCAGAGTGCCCTCTAGTCAGCATCGCCTCTGCAGTGTCTTAGAGTGCATTGCTGAGGTGGATTGTGCTCTTCAGGGTCGCTGAGGTGCTCACAGTGTAAGCAGACCTACTACTGCTCCACAGCGTGCCAGAGGAGAGACTGGTCGTCCCACAGCACCATCTGCAGACCTGTTCAGCAGAGGTCAGTGCTGTTCCTCTCATTCCTTGGGGAATACTGAAAGTGTCCTTGTTCATCAATCAAGCAAGCCAGAACTGTGTACAGATTGTTACTTTCCACTCACGCACTGAGGCAGAACTGTAAATATGAAGCAAGTAGCACTATAGACTTCAGTTTTCACGAGTCTAATCTCACTGGATAGCACATAGAACCATTAGAACTTTAAGGGCTAGAGATTGACAGTGCCTGACTTCTAGTCACGCATGCGTTCCTGGATGTTGTCTCACTGTGCCTCTTGAAGTAGGCTATAAAAGACATAAATCTTCATTCCATGGCCTTTACTAGTTTATAAAACAGTTTTCACAGTCTCATTTGATCGAGACTGTATAGGAAATGTGAGGTCTCCATTTTACAGACAGGAAAACTGAGACCTGGACTGTTCCATTCCCTTTACTGGGCTTTTGAGGAAGCATGCTGTGCTCCCCAGGGTGGAGCATTGAACTGGCAGCTCGGGGCTGCTTTGCTTTGTCACCAGTGTTACCCTCAAGAAGCTGTTTTGTCCTCCCTGGGTTTTTTTTTTTTTTTTTTTTAATTCATTGAGAATTTACTATAATTGAGATTTATGAACTGCATTCTTAATTTTTTTCTGTAGTATAAGCATTATAATTGGTTACTTTATTTCAGTTTGCACAAGCTCGAAAAGAATAAATCATATGAAGCAAAGAACACTGAAGTGAAAAATGAGGTATGGCGTATTTTTGTCATTAGAGTACATTTTAAATAATTCCTCTATGAAGATTTGTGCTATTTTGGATTCTACATTTTACCAGTGTTTATTTAAAAACAGAAAATCCCATTAATTACATACACAGTATCAATGGGATGTTATGACTGCTTGGGGCTTTTGAGAATTATTTATCTCCAGTCTTTTCCCCCGGTCTTCTTGAGATAGCTGTATCCCGTGTAAGTCTTCCAGCCCACTTAGAGAACCCTTTCTTTGTAGCCCTGCAAGTACAGGTTCTCTAATAGTGGGTCCTGCACCTCTCCAGCTTAGCACTCTCAGGGGCATTGTCTTGTAGCTCTTCATTTTGATAGCTATGTTGGCCAAGTCATTCATAACTCTGTTGTGCCTAACTCATATTTATAAAGGATTTTTGGTTTTCTGTAGCTGCATATACCTTTTACTTTAAAATATCTTTTCCCCAGTTTTGAGTCTTAAAAAACATTAACAAGTTTAATGTTGACATTAAAGACATTAACAATTTAATGTCTTTAAATGTTGGTGGCTATGGTGGCCTGTGCCTGTAATCCCAGCACTTGGGGGTAGGAAGTAGCATTTGAGGTAGGAGGATAGCTTTGAGTTTTGGGCTAGCCTGGGCTATATAGTTCAGGGTAGCCTGAGTTGCAGAGTGAGACCCTACCTCAAAAAACACAACAAGCCAGGCGTGGTGGTGCTCGCCTTTAATCCCAGCACTCGGGAGACAGAGGCAGGTGGATCTCTGAGTTCAAGGACAGCCTGGTCTATATAGTGAGTTCCAGGACAGCTGGGGCTACAGGGAGACCCTGTCTCAAAAAGACCAAAAAAAAAAAAAAAAAAACCCCAAAACAAAAACGCAACAAAATTCTTAAATGTTAAATGGATTATTCTAACTATAAAAAAGTAAGCTGAGGTTGTCTTCCTATGACCACTCATTCTCAGGTGACCCCTCAGTGCTGTGTCCCCTGCTTGTGGACAGATGCTCTCAGGAGGCCCTCTGTGCACCTTTATTTTCTTATTTAAACCCATGAGTGAGGCTTTGTAGCCACTGTCACTGAAGGAGTGCTTGTAACTCCTTTGCTTTCTCACAGCAGAGTGATTGTGTACTCAGAGTTACTAAAGAAGTGGATACTGGTGCTGGGAAAATAATGTTTTCTGATTTGAGACGTCTACAACTCAAGAAAACCATGGAAATAAAGGTATTTGTGTTGCACTTACACAGTGATCCCAAGAACTTTTGGGTTTTAGCTCCTTGTTTGCTATCTGTGTTTGACTGTACAAGGCAGCTACCAAAGTTACCTGGTTAGATTAGTGAAGATTATGGAAACTGGATGCTCTACTTTTTGTCTCTTAGATATAAAACTTTAAGAAATTCACACTTGCTTTTGTTTCTCAAATTATTGTGTCTTTTCTGTCTTTGAAAGGGTACAGTTACTGAATTCAAACACCCAAGTAACTTTTATGTACAGTTGTATTCCTTGGAGGTTTTAGAACACATGAACCAACTCTCTACAACCTTAAAAGAGACATATGCAGATATGGCACATGAAGACGGTTATCTTCCTATTAAGGGGGAAGTTTGTGTTGCCAAGTACACAGTTGATCAGGTAACCACTGGCAAAATAAATTATTTAATAAAATGTTTTAACTTCCCTTGATGATGTGAGCTCATCAACCCAAGGGTTATTAAAGCTGCATGAGCTGGCTTCTGGGCAGACTTGGATCACTCTCTAGTCTCCCTCAGTATCTAGGCAGTGTTTACCCAAACTCCTCTCTGCCCCAGCCCTCCCCAGCTCTGCTGCTTCGTTCCTAAGTGGCTGTGTACATACTGTTTGCTGGCCTTCAAAGTTGTGCTTGTCTGTGTTGCTGAGGCAATATATAATAGTTGTCTAGGCTGGAATAACTTTAGAGTGTTAATCCATCTTTACATGGTCCTAATTAGAGAATTTTAGGCATTTCTCAGCAAAATGATGTTGACTTTTTGTCTACAAATAAAATAGGAACTTTAGTTTGCCTGCTGTGTAGACTGCTTGAGGGCTTCTTAGATTAAGATTGTGAAATTCTGTTTTAAAGCAGAGTGCCACCCTATTTCCCTTGCAGACCTGGAACAGAGCAGTAATACAAGATGTTGATGTGTTGCAGAAGAAGGCACAGGTCTTGTATATTGATTATGGAAACGAAGAAGTAATTCCAATAGACAGGATTCACCAGCTCAACAGAAGCATTGACTTGCTTCCTCCTTATGTGAGTCTCTTCCTTTCTAAATTCCTACCAGCATCCTAAGGAGCAGTGATTTATAGCAGACACAGTAGACACAGTGTTTGCTTCCATTCACCATGTCACTGTGCCTACTGTTGTGTCTTACTGTGTAGATGAAAACCATTTGGACTCATTTCTGTTATCACTCATGAGTTAAGTGGAATCTCATGTGAATAAGTAACGTTTTAAGGCGCATCTTAAATCTGCTCAATAAAATCAGTCATTTCTAGACTGGGCATGGTGGCCCAAGCCTTTAGCTCCAGCACTTGGGAGGCAGAGGCATGCAGATCTCTGAGTTCAAGGCTGGCTTGGTCTATAAAGCAAGTTCTAGTCCAGCCAGTGCTATACAGTTGAGACCCTGTCTCAAAAAGAAAAGTCATTTCTGTATTCATATATTATTGGAAAGAGGCTAGGATTGATGTATAACTGTGGTAAAAATTTTTTATCCTTTTATGAATTTCTGAAGCTTCAAGTACCAGAAGTTAGCATTGCCAGTAAGTGTCAAAGAGGTAAATCTAACCATATTTCAGATTGTTTGCATGATTAGTACTGGAAGGCTTTTGAAATTTTTTTTTCCACATGAAGTACACTTTATCTTTTAAAAACTTAAAAAAATTACCAAGATTTAGTTTAAGATACTGATTCTTACAAGTAAAGCACACAAAATCTTCCAGGCCATCAAGTGCTTTGTGGCAGATGTTACCCCAGTGGAGGGCGATTGGAGCAATGATTGCATCATGACCATCAAGTCATTGTTGCTGGAACAGTTCTGCTCCGTAAAGATCATTGATGTCCTAGAGGAGGACATAGTCACCTATGCTGTGGAGGTTGTGCTGCAAAGCTCAGGTGAGAGCAGAGTCTGTTTTCCTTTTCCATGTTACTGAGCTCCCACCTGAAACATGGAAGTGAGGCTAAGAAGTCTAGGCTCCAGAGTCTTTCCACTGTGGCTAAAAATGTAGCTTTGAATTTGCAATTTACCACAGATTGGCAAACATTCATGGAAGTAGATGGCATAAAAGTCTAAATTTAGGCTGGGCATGGTCGTGTATGCTTTTGATCCCAGCACTGAGAGGCAGAGGCAGGTGGATCTCTGAGTTGAAAGCAAGCCGGGTCTGTCTAGCAAGTTCCAGGCCAGCTGGGGCTAAAGGGAGACCCTAGCTCAAAAACAAAGTCTAGATTTAGACTTAACATGAGAATAATTATATTATTTTAATATAATTATTATAACATCTAGCCACTTCTACACCTTTACTGGAAGAAATTCTTGCGTGGCTATGAATTTTCCCATCCTTAGCAACAGTGCTCTTGCTCTTTGAGCAGCTCTCACAGGAATGCATTTTGTTAGTACTTAGTGTTTAAGTTGGGAAAGTGGAAGCACTTTGGAATCCTGGCTTTCCATGTGGCTTAGTATCTTTCAGAAGTGATTTCTTACACTAAGTTTTATATGATCGCCCCTCAGTTTCCAAGGTACTGTCTCTGTACTGTCAGACTGGGTATCATGGATGACACCAAGCTTTTTTGGTAGAAGAGCTAATTTGTGGAAATTTAGTAAAAAATTTTTTTTTGTTGTTTGAGATGAGTGTTTTGTGAGTCCAGCTTTTGGACAGTATTTCATGTCAGTTATGACTAATCTGCTTCAGGCATGTAATCTTGTGTTTAAATTGATTTCTTCTCATAAATATTCCAAGTGTGCTTGTCATATCTGACTCTTATTATTCAGAGCGCTGAAGATAAATCTTTTCATTAAATTTTTTGTCAAGTAACTAGGAATTTTGTCTGCTTTTTAAAGCTAAGCCACACTAAGCTATATTTTGACCATAGTAACTGATCACCTGTGCAGGAGTAGTTACAGCATCTGAGTCATGTGATTGATGGGTTTCTTATTTGTACTTTGCCTATAGTGCTTTCTATAGTGTCTCAATGGAGCTGTATTTTCTTAATCACCTTTTAGGGAAACTCCTAGACCAGGTACTTGTAGACATGGGATATGGTGTGAAACCCAGCGAGCAGAAGCAAAGTACAGCTCAGAGTGAGTGCACAGGTAAATATTGGACAGTATGGGACTGCAGTTATACAACAGGGTCTTTCCTACTAAACCACAAACAGAGGACAACTATGGCCTTGTGAAGACTTAATAATGATGATCGTGCTATAAGTTTTCAATCAAGGGAGATGGAGGCCATTTTTCACTTAGTAATGTTATGTAATCTCACTTTCCCCTGCTTGTCTCCTGAGTCTGTCTCGTAGTTAATCCTGATATCATTATTAGAGATTATAATATGGTATTCAAAATCATGACACTTTAGGGTGAAGGCCTTTTAGCTCTCATTTTCTTTGATTTCCTTGCTTGGCTATTCCACCAAATAATGAGGGCTCTGGAATTCTGTTTTAGGTTTTTTATTTCTTGATTACTTTTGTGTGTGATTTTACATTTGAGTTTAACAAGAGAATCATATTTGGCATGAATATTTTTTTCATTGCTTGTTTATAAGCATTTTTATAGTTTTCTCCTTTTTTTCTATTTTATTATTTTTATGTGTATGTGTGTATTGCCTGCATGTATGTGAGTGCACCAGTGTCATGCAATGCCACAGAGGTCAGAAGAGGGCTTCAGATTCCCCTGGAACTGGAGTTAAAGATGGTTCGTAGCCGCCACGTGGGGGCTGGGAATTGAACCCGGGTCCTCTGCAAGAGCAGTCAGTGCTCTTATCTACTGATCCATCTCTCCAGCCCCTATAGTTTTCTCCTTTACTTTGCTCCATTGCAGTAACTTTAGGCATGGGCAGAACTCACTGTCTTTTGCCCATGAACCTAGAGGTGATGAATCATCTTCTCCCAAAGATAGACTCTATCATCCTAAGCCTGCCTTCTCCCCTACTTCATGCCCTGTGTAGTTGATTGCCAAGTCTTTGTTGGTTTTTCTTCCCAAAGATCTTTTGTCTATCTTTTCTTTCTCTGTTCCCTTCATCCATCCTTTCCATCTATAATTTCTTTAGGAATCCTTCATGACAATTGAAACAGTTTTCTGCTGTTACATTTCATTTCCTGTCTGTATTTCTCCAATACTTTCCTTCGTGGTATCTCCAAAATGTAAATCTTGGTACAAGTGTAAACAACTAGGGTCTAGTAGTAGTCATACTTGAAACCATAAATGTCGATGGTACAGAGTGAGGAAAAGTATTGAATACAGTAAACCTGGGAGCCCACAGCATGGAGTGAAAATCTGTGATGAGAGCTGGCAAAAAGAATCAGAAAACCCATGCCAGAGCAACAGAAAGATAAATGCCCCTGGAAAAGGGACTCATTCATCAGTAACGTCTTGAGGTTGTCTGTAGGAACAAAGGAATTTGTTGACCTCTGTCTATGCAAAGGTGCCATTGAGGTGCCTCCATGAAGGATGTTCAGTAGTCAGTACAGATAAGAAATTATGCAGTGGTGGGATGGAGAAGTCCTGGGAGCCCCTGGAAAGAGTATTTACCAAGACTTGGGACGAAGCCTTCTTGAAGTGATACCATACAAAGCAAGAAATACAGATTCCAGGTAGGGACTTTGTTCCAAGATGAAAAGAACACATTTGTAAATGTGTTAAAAGGGCAGGGTTGGGTCTGAAAAACTGAAAATAGGTCTAGTTAGAGTTGCCCATCAAGAAAAGGTGTAGGAATAGGATGGGGAGCAAAAGGTTGCGGTATGAGCAGGAGTAGAGCACAGGTCTCAGGAGCTGTGTTAAGGGGGCTGCGTCCGGCTCTGAAGCCAGTACAGAGCTTGAGGCTTCTGGAGTGAAGCCCCTCTTTGGCCTCAAGTAGAGAGACTTTTGGAAGATAGAAGAGGTGGAAGATTGCTAAACAGTGTTACGAGTCTGTCTGTGACCCTAACATAAACTGAACCTGTGCATCTGTCCTGCCCTCTATCTGTCATTGATTGAGCCGTTTTTATACCTGAGGGTCTGCCCCAGAGCCATTGGTGTCACATGCTGCCTGCTGAAGCACTCCCGTGCCTATGGCACGTCCATGCTGCCCCTGGGGTTGTGGAGCCCTCTCAGTAGGCTCACTTCTCTTGTAACCTTTATCCCACTAACTCCAATGTATCATCTGTCAACAGGATTTAGGACTTGTAAGAACATAGACTATGAACTTTTCCTTAATCAACTCCCTTTCCCAGTTGCTTTGCATACTGCACATAACATCTGATGTGTAGTAGGTTTTAGTGATTTTTTTTTTTTTTGAGAGAGCCAGGATTCCATTATGCAACCCCAGCTGGCCTGGAATTCAGTATATACCAGGGTGACCTCAAACTTGGAGATCCACCTGCTTCTGCCTCTTGAGTGTTGGGATTAAAGGCATGTACCACCATACCTGGCAAGGTTTTCCAAGTGTACTTTAAGAAATCACAAGAGGGACTGGAGAGATAGTTCAGCGAGTTAAGAACACTGACTGCTCTTGCAGAAGACCTAGGTTTGATTCCCAGCACCCCCATGGCAGCTAACAGCCATCTGTAACTCCAGTTCCAGGGTATCTGATGCTCTCTTCTGACTTCGAGGGCATTGCACAACATGGGTGCACTTACATGCAGGCAATACACTCATACACATAAAATAATAAAAGAAATCACAAGAACCCTTGGCAGATATGCTGTTGGGCTCACACAGCTGAAGGAGGCACTGAGATAATTGACTCTGCCTGCTTAAATGTGAGAAGCAGACCCTGACCAGTGCAGTGAGCCGGCCTGAAAGTGGGGATCTAAGCCCCCTTGCTTCGATTTACTCTCTTACCTATGAAACAACAGCATGGTTGATCATTTTTCTTGCTGTTGAGTTTTTCTTCTGTCCTATCCCTTATTTATATTTTGATTTTTCTGAAACATGTAAAATATTTCTGACTTTTTGTTTCTCACATTTGAGATTATGGCTTTCATCTCAGCTGGGGTTTGGGACCCACTATCCATTCCTGTGTGATTTCTGACACAGCTTCAATGATCTCTTGCACTGCACATAGAAAGTCAGTGCTAGGAAGCAGGTGCCCTCTGAGTTTGTGGTCTGTCACAGTTTTCCTTAGTCTTCAAAGAATCTGACCACATAGGTCCATGATGAGACTGTAGCATTTCTACAGTACACTGCTTATATTTCTTTATAAACAATGAAATGACTTTGGTTTTATTTGAATGCTTGTCTTATACTTAGTTCCTTTCAGGAAACTACATTTGTCTTTTAGGATTCTGGTATGTTGATATCATGATGTCTCATAAGTCTTGACCATAAATATACATCCCTTGAGAACTTGGGAGTTTTGTAGGCCATGTGTTTTTTTTTTTCTTCCTCTGAGTTTTCTTGTGCTCAGTTATTTTTCATGGAGTTCAAAGCCCCTCCTCTTTCAGACTCTTAGGTCAGCTCTGATTTTTGTTTGTTTGTTTGTTTTTCTTGATGTGGTACTTACGTTGCTTGTTCCTTATTTGAACTTTTTAATGATTTTTTAAAATTATTTAATAACCACATACTTAGAAGAAGCATTTCATTACAACAGCATTGACATATTCAATAACAATTTCCAGAGCTAAGATGCATCTCTTTCAAAATTGGCTGTAAATTTTTAGGTTTACAGTTGAATTATTAAAGCTATACAATATATTGTACTCAGTATAAACCCTATAAGACAAAAAATTAAATGAGGTTTTAACCTTTAAAAAAGGTCTCCATTTCATTATTAAAATACAGTTTCATACAGAAAAATTCATTTTTAATGCAATTGACATTAAGGTCTTTGGACATGCGTTTCTAATCTCTATCTGATTATTACTAGTCACACTTGGTTACTTTCTGAGCTCCTTGGCATCTGAGCATGGATATAAAGTCGTCAGGTGGATTTCAATGGTAATATTTTTCACATCTACTAATTATTAAGGAACAAATTTTTATGCTTTGAAGAATTATTTTTTTATCAGTATTTTTTTTATTTTTAATAACTACATGATTAGAAAAAGGATTTCACTACAGCTTTAACATATTCAGTAACACACTCCAGAACAAGAGTACACATTAGAAGAAGCATTTCACTATAGCTTTAACATATTCAGTAACACTCCAGAGCAAGAGTACGTCTCTTTCACAAGTGGCTGCAAGTTTCTAGGTTTACAGTTGAATTAATACAGTTACACAATATTGAACTCAGTATAAGCCCTGTAAGACATAAAATTGAATGAGTTTTTAACCTTTGAAAAAGATCTCCATTTCATTTTAGAATATATTATTCCTTGCAGAAAGACTCATTATTTTTGCTACTAACACTGAGATGTTGGCACAAGCATCTCTAATCTGTATGTATCTGATTATTACTAGTCATAATCAGTTGCACTTGTATCCTTGGCACCTGTGTATGTCTGTAAAGTCATCGGGTAGATTTCAAGGGTAATCTTTATCACCTCTACTAATTAACATGATGTAAATTTCCATACTTCCTCCTCAAATACAATGCATTTTAAAAAAATTGTTGATTTGTGTGTGTGTGTGTGTGTGTGTGTGTGTGTGTATCACACAGAACATCCCAAACCATCTTATTCAACTATATACCCACTTCCCAGATGGCACCCTCCCACCGCCTCCCTCCCCCAACTAGAGCCCTTATACTCTGATATCCCTGCTACTGTCTGCTGTGTTGTCGGCACCCCTAGCCATTCCCCACTACTTGCCCTTCTGGTGAATCTAGTCAGCCTATCTAGAGGTCTTTGTTTTAGGAGGGTCAGCTGTTCCTCATCTAGCAGCAATCAGTTGTCAATATTCTGATAGATAAGATTGGAATCTGTTCATTTTCCCAGTTCTGTGCTGGGTTGCTATCTGGGAGTCCCTTTGGCCACCTTGGCCAACAACTCAAAAGAAGGTATCTCCTATCTGGTATTGTTGCTTGTTATGTAGCCTTTAGCTATGCATATGGACTCTTAAGAAATTATATTGACCCCTTTAATCTTTGATTATACTTTCCTTTTGGGTGTTTAAGGCCATACAGATGGCCCAGATAAACCAATTTATTTTTACTCTTAAGGTCGTTTGAGGATCTATCTGTTCCTTAGGGGTCACATGGGCTTGGGAGGAGCCCCTGGTTCCTTTCTTTTACTAGTTCCATCTCTGTGAAGATAAGTCAAAGGTCCTTCTCCATGGTTGGCTTTGCTTGAAAGCATGGAGCAAATTATTCCTCTTTCTTGACCCTCCTCTTTGTAGACTGGACACTGGTTCAAGTCCATCTGGTGGGGTCTTCTCGGCCTCCTTGATCAAGAGGACAGGTGACCCACCACAATTACAGGACATTTTGAGAGATGCTCATAGTCCCCTGGAACTAGTCGGCCTAGGAGGGCAAGGAGCAAAAACTGTCCTTTATGTCCCTCTGACCAAATTATTAATGTGTTTTTAAAATGATTTTAAATTAAATTTGGTATTCTAACATGATTTTCTGTGGGATTTGCCATTTCATTGTCAGGTAGGTTCTGCTCTGGTGTTTGTTCTTCTGAGACCCTGTGAATGGTATCTACTCCAAGTTATGTTTTCCCTGAGCTGCTTTAGAGATGGAAGATTTTATTCAAGAATAGTAGATCTGAAAATTTTATGCCACTGATTCTTTTCATATTATTCTAGCTGTGGGTGATGTGGAAAACTGACTTTGTTAAAATCATCTATCATACTTAGAAGACCACCTGAGTTCTCACTTCTGTCTTCCAGGAACATTGCCCACTCATACTCAGTGTCTCTTCCTAAATGATTCAAGGATGCCTGTTTTCTTATGTTGATGTTTTTGTTTTCCTTTGATACTAAAAGGATGTTTTTCTGTTTTCTGATAAGGCAATCCTGAAGATGCTGGAAAAATGGCACCTGAAAACAAAATAGTTGTAGACAGAAATGCCTTGATCCCCAAAGTACTAACTTTGAGTGTGGGTGAGGAGTTCTGTGGTGTGGTTGCCCACATTCAAACACCAGAGAACTTCTTCTGTCAACAGCTGCAGAGTGGTCGTGAGTCTGTTTTCTTAGTTTGTTCTGTCACCGTAACGTGCTCCACTAAAGGAGCTGCAGTTTGTCTAAGGTGCGATTTGTGTCTGCAGATAAGCTTGCTGAACTTCAGGGGTCCCTCAGTGAGTACTGTGGTCAAGTGACTCCACGCTCTGATTTTTATCCAACCATTGGTGATGTGTGTTGCGCCCAGTTCTCAGGTAAGGAAGTAAGAGTATTACTCAATGTTTTATGTACAATAGAATAAAAACCATCAAAACAAGCTCTTTGGTTTACACTGAATGGCTACACTTAAAACTTGAGTTTTACACTGTACCAAATTCTTAAATATGTCCAATCAAACTAGATCAAAGGACAGAGAACTAGTGGCAAGAGGTTGGGGAGTAGTAAGGTGATTTTTGTGATTTTTGTCCTTACAATTTGGAAATAGGTACAAATAGTTCCTTTACATAAATATGGGATATAGAACCACCCAGCTTCCTGACTTCATGAGTTTTTTTTAGAAATAGCAAGAGAGCCAGGTGTGGTGGCGCACGCCTTTAATCCCAGCACTTGGGAGGCAGAGGCAGGAGGATCTCTGTGAGTTCAAGACCAGCCTGGTTTACATAGTGAGTTCTAGGACAGCTGGGGCTACAGGGAGACCCTGTCTCAAAAAG